ACGACGTGGTGTACAGTTTTAAGTGTAGTTTATAAATTTATCGACAATTGTTCGCGGGATACAGTTTGTGCAGCTTTGAACATTCTGAATCAAACTAACAAACTAACCTTTGTGAGTCAAAATCAAACTACCAAACAAACATACCTCTCTGACTCAAATTCAAACTATCAAACAAATAAACCTTTGTGAGTCAAAATCAAGTTAGCAAACAAACAAATCTCTGTGATTCAGAACCAAATTATCAAACAAATACTGGCAATAAAGAAAGCTTATTTAACGATAAAAAGTTAAAATAAATAATTCACTGCATCGATTATTCATTTCTTTGTGTTACGTCACAGAGGTTTGTTTGATAGTTTCATTTTGAATCACAGAGGTTTGTTTGTTCAATTGTTTGATTTTGAGTTATAGAGGTTTGTTTATTTGGTAGTTTGATTTTGAGTCGCAGATGTTTGTTTGATAGTTTGATTTCGAGCCACAAGGGTTTGTTTATTTCATAATTTGATTTTGAGTCACAGATGTTTGTTTATAAACTTTACTGTTTGATACGCTTCCTTTATTACTAAGAAGTAGACTCAATAATCGTTAATCAAACGTTCAGGTTCAAATATTTTAATAAAACGGACATTTTCTAACTTTTTAGTAATCAATTTTCCACTTCTCATTTGAAACTTCGACCAGTAATTGCTATGTCATTCACTAACTTTATCTTTTATAATCAGGTTCAGTTTCTTTTCTTTATTAAAGATGTTGGTAATTGGATGTTAGGAGTAAACTAACTCAAAGGTAACCATCGTTTGAGTCTTTATATGTATAAAACTATAGGCTATTTTACAGAATATTGGGGAGTTATGCCATTTAAGTCGCCATTGTTTTAGTTGGTAGACATAAAAAAGTTCAGCCTCTAGTTTTCTGGTTATTGATGGAAAGGATCTTCGGTAACAGTGTTAAATTAAATACAGGTTTCACTGTTAAGGTTTCCATTTTAAATTCAACAAGTTTTTATAAAATGAATATTTAGATAACTAACCACGACCCACACAACATTTCCGGTAGTTTTCATGCCCTTCACTTGAATTTTCCTTATTCTATCATTTTCACACATGTCATTTATCCTACGCTTTCTTACAGGCATTATGTGTTAGATGGATAAACCTGGTCTATTTGAAAAACAAACAAACATGGTCAGACAAACAAACTCAAGTAGGCGTAGCTTTATTTAATAAAACTACATGTAAAGTAAATAATAAAGTAACTGTATTTATAACAGTGTACAGAGTATGAAACATTTATTAGCGTTCAGTGTATGACAGAGTTTTACGAGTTGAAACAAAGAAACTCACACAAACGAAGAATAAAACCCCTATTAAAGACAAAAAGTAGCTAAAAGGTGTTTATAGCAGTCTATGAAACGAAACCGAAACTAACCTAAATTATTGTAAAATAAAATAAATGTAAAGTTGCAATGAAGGCAAACTTTGCGAACATGCATTCAGACGTTTCTGCATATTCAGCTAAGTGATAAGTAAATAGTTTTGAATGAACTGCGCATGCATATTTTAGGTCTAAACAAGTCGAGAAAGCCTATAGCAATTGCATTTAGTGTAGTATTCGTATTTTGAAGCAATTTAACGCAGATTAAGTGTTGTTTGTGTGAAATACTTTCCAAATAAAAAAAACTAAAGTTCAAATCGAAGCCAGTCGTCACATGATGATAACGACCTTATGCTATCGTGAAGCATACTCGTTGCATTATAAAAAGTCTGACTAAGCAAAAAACTAACAAACAATGGGAAAGACAATACGCAATCGGGACTCCTCGGCACAAGACCTTTCTAAGTATATGAGAGTTGTAGCGTCTGATTAAGAAATTTACGAGAAAAGTTACGGACAAACAAACGCAAGCGTATTACTTACATAAATTTTACAGATGATAGCTGTATCACACATTCAGTTATATAGACTTAATATTATTGGACATGTACGTGATAACGGAAATCCTACCAAGAAATGTTCTACACATTCAATATTGTTGTACAGATACGTGATAATTGAAATCCTTCCGAGTGTTTTCCCGATTTCAGCTATACACACTTCGTATTGTTGCACGGACACGTGGTAAAAGAAATCTTCCCGAGTGTTGTCCTGCAGACTTTATATTTTTGTACAGATACGTAGTAACAGTAATCTATCAAAGTGTTGTCTTACTTTCAGTTATACGAACTTAATATTGTTGTATAGATATGTGATAACGGAAATCTACCAGTACTGTTCTGCTTTCAGTTATACGGACTTAATATTGTTGTACAGATACGTGATAACGGAAATCTACCAGTGTTGTTCTGCTTTACAATAAACCGATCGTTATTCGTTGATTTGACGTATTTAATTCTTGTTTATTGTCTTACTTTCGTCCTTTCGATTTTCTTTTCAAAATTACAGTTTCTACAAATTGGTCCCAGAAAAGTATATTGTATCAAATGTTTTTCTTTCCTACGTGAAATAAAGGAAATAGAAACATCTTTATTAATTATGGTAATTCTCATTTTGAAGTACACACACAGAGTTCATAGAGAATCTTAATAAATCACACGATTTGTTTATCATCTAGTGGAATACATAATTTTGATACTGCTATTAATTTCCACATTTACTGTTATTTTCTATGTTGTACAAAAGTAGCATCTAGATAGAAGATAGAGAGTTTATTTCAACACTGATATTCCATTCAGAAGTACTACAGCTAGTTAATTATTCACGGGATACTGAGAAATACAGAGACAAGGTTTGGATTAGTTTTCGGCCAAAGAGACATAAATGTTATCGGACACTGATCGTCCGATGGCTAAATCGGGATTTCCGGCTGAATGCTGGAAGCGTCCATTTAAGTTTAAGGAGTTAATTTTTCTTTCTTTGGGTACTTAATGAAAATACAAAAGAGGAATAAAACAAGTAAAATCAGCAGTCTTGATTTAAAAAAACAACAACATCTAACGACGTTCAAGTTATCAACCATTATTTTTTAAATTTTACTACGACTAATATATTCTTCTTAGGTGATTATGGCGCCATCTGTTGTAGTCAAATAAGCTATTATTTATGCCAAGCGATTAATAAATGATTCATTCTTCGAGGTGTTTATATGTACACAAAACCAAAAACAAACCTGATAAAACGTGTTTTATTATAAACATTAACTAAGAATGACTACTTCACAGAAAAATGAAAGAAACTTTACTTTTAATAATGCGATTCTTCTTGAGTCTTGTGGATTCATTTCTAATGAAAAGGATATGATCCAGATTGTAAAATTATAATCACTTGGAATAAACCAGCAATTTACTTTTACAATATTTTATTTACCTCTTCTATGTCAACATCAAGAGAAAACAAGAGCTTAGAGAGAGTTCCACTCAAAATTGTTCTAAGATGCCCAAGTTTTCTTCCCAGCTCGGGTCAATTAATGTAAAACAATTGCTAAAGATGGCGCTTAGGTTTTTCTTGCACCACAATTTTATTTCCAAGGTATCATTATTGATACTCTCTCTGACCATTAGTCATGTCTGGATAGTGCGACTCTTATTTCATAACGTCAAGGTCCAACACCAGAAGTAAATACATGTTTTGTTACAAGATTTAAATGTAATAAATAGAATAAATAACATATAAATAAATTACGTCATCATGTTGTATATTCTGGTAACAAGATGTTACGATTTTTACCATCTAGACTTGTTTCTTTATTTGTACAAGACAAATGTGTCTGTAACCGTTTTTTACTTCAAGATACCCCCCCCCCCCTGAAATAGTCCCACCAATCGTGAAAATGAAAAAAAAAAAAATTGGATACATGTTGAGAGGGGATGGCCCGATGGAAAATGTGATCTGAGAACGATTCTTTGGGAGAAGATGTAGAATAGGATGATGATGACCATCCATGAAAGGCTTATGGACAGATGAAGACAGAGCTAAATGGAGAGAAGAATTGTACCTCGGACCTGCCTTAAGGTCCCAACCATGGTGAACCATGAATTTTCTGTGAATTACTTTTTTACTTTGAGAACTTTTGCAGGTAGAGTCAGGTGTAACTAACAAGAGAAAACTAGTAGTAAGCTAGCACTTAGGACCAAGTGCTATTATAGTCAAGTGAAAATTGAAAACCAAACGTTACAATAATCAGTGAAAACTGTCGGTAGGCTAACGTTTGGAAATTGTGTTGAAAATCGACTTGATAATAAATTTGACTGAACAGAGACACTTATCTGTCCAATAAAAACAATGGTTATACAAGTTCGATCACAAAAACACACACGATTGATACATACTGCTTTGTTTGTCTCATTAAAATCTGGTAACTTGAAATGTCTTCATGAAACTCGAACTTATACAGGCGAAAACTGACATTTTTTTTTACCAGAGATACAAGTAACCAGCTTCGTATCCAGCATGTTAAGACATAGGCATAATACCAAACCTTGAAGCTAGCCTATATCACTTGTCCTATAATTGTTACAGTTTTGTAGGAATTAATATTCGTTAGCTTAAGATTTACGCTTAAGTAATATAAACTATTAGGATTATACCAAAGGGGATTTATTAACACTGCACAAGATGTAAACTTACAATAAAATAACCTCCATGGGCAACAGATAAACCACAGAATCCGCTAGGGATTTTCGAATATAAAAAACAAATTTATCATTTACAATATGAAACATTTAAAGAAAAACTACATCATAGATATAGATGGAAAAACCTTAACAGACTGAATCTTAACCGGACATTGTTAAATAATAGCAATAAAACCGTGAATAAAATCTACATAAATAATTCACTCAGTTTAAAACTTCGAAACAAAAATATATATCACTTGAACATGAAACTTTTTTTTTGAACCAAATAATCTATTTTTAGATGCACGGAAAATTAGACAAAACAAAAAACTAAAAAACAACAAAAACTAAACAAAGTTAAAGTTGTGTAACAGTAAATATATTAACTCTGGGGTGATTGAAGATTTAACTTTATTCAAGGGATTCACACCTCCGTTTTAAAACTTGTTCTTCAGAAATTCTCTTTCCTAAACCAGAAATTATATTCATTACACTTTTTACGAAGAATCCTGTCCAAGTTCGGAGGTCCACAGTAGAAAACGGTTACTTTTCCCTTCCTTTGGTCAGACAACTCCCGAAACATCTAAATAAAGAAAACGAAATGACTGTCAACATCATCCGCAAATTTTACGAACATTTTAGCTAAGATTATATATGTAACTTTTGCACAGTTATCTGACATTAACTTAAGGTAATCACATTGTATCGATATTTTCCCCAGCTAGTTTTTTCTTTTACATTTACTACAGTATACAAACTTAAAATTTTGCAAAACGTTTAAATTATTTTATACGCTTACTCACTGATAACTGTAGTTTTTCAGTAACCAAGTCAATTATATAAGCTAAGTCTATCTCACCACATGCAGTTGTGAAACAATGCACCAAATTTATAATTTACGACAATTTATACACCTATGAAATCTCGAATGTTTGTGAAATAAATTGCAATATAAAAATGCTAGACTGAATGAATTAGAATTAATTAACCAGTTCAGTATGTTCGTAATAAAGGTAGTGAATCAGTCAGCGTTTGAAAGATTGGTTAGTGACTAATTTTAACAAGGCGTAGGGGAGACCGGGACTAGTTGTTACAGGGGCAAGTTGATACAGTGCCTCTAGCTCTTGTGGAGATTAATAGACGGCGATAGTTCACGGACCATCGAACACGTGTTGCGCAAGGTTGGTTTTAATGGCGGCATGAATAAGATCAGTCACGAAATAAAAAAGGTATGTACATTTTCTGTTTTTGCATACCTAAACTAACAATAAAATGTCTAGGAAATATCTATTTACTCTTTATATACTGTGAAGAACAGTATCAAAATCGAAGTCTACAACTAATTTAAGAGGTATTAACTATATACGATAACATTGAGTTATGTGTCTCCATACTAATTCATCTTCAAACAATTTGTTATA